GCTTTTCTTAACTAATTCTCTACAAAATTCATATAACATTTGTTGCATAATTTGTTACCTTTTACCCAGGTTGCCTTGATCAAACCATTAGCTTCGGCTTCTTCCCATTTATTTCCTGCTAATGAACGAAACTGACAGGATTTAGTAGTTTTACATTCCATACACTTCTTAATTTTAGACATATTTGTTGTTAAGTAAATTAAACTAAGATCAACTGAATCAACTTGAATCAACCGTTTTTGTTAAAATATAATGCGAAAGCTTCAAGTTCACTTAGTTCGATTTGTCACGTTTGTTAAAAGGGATAGGTTACCCGAAGCCCCTAAAAATGTAAAAAAGTGTCGTAAAACCTATAAAAAAATTTTTATTCTTGTGTAACCATATCGGAATTTTACCTAATTTGGGACGGTCTCACCTGAAGCAATGGGCGGAATTAATGTCGCCCCTATTTCGGATTCGGATTTGGCGAAATATTTGGGTTTCGCCTGAAACATTACCGTATATAGCTCTGGAAGTTTTGCAAGGAAAACCATTCACTAAAGCGTCAGACATTTATTCTTTCGGAATGATTATGTGGGAATTTTCTTCAGGAAATCTTGTATTTTCCGACTATGAATACAATAATTTAAGATTGGCAATAGAAATTCGAGAAGGTTTGAGACCAACTATTATTAAAGACACAGCACCATGTTATGTAAATACTTTGAAGAAGTGTTGGGATAATGATCCAGAAAAACGACCATCAGCTATAGAAATTCATGAAACTATTTCAAAATGGAAAAATAATACTGAAATTTTTGCGGAATTTTTAAAATATGATAAAGAAATGGTGATCAAAAATAATGTCCTTAAAAATATGGAGGATAGTTCAATTCATACTACCCAATTTATTAGTTATATTAATCAACAATCGCTTGAACATTTAATTGCCAATGAAATTATTTCTGATAATAATATTTCTATCGAAGGCATTAAAAAAATTTGGATCTTGTTAGTATAAAGAGTACGTATAAGGTGATAATTAAAATATTTGAGTGAAGGCAAATGTATATATTTATTTATTATAGAGTAGTGACTGGACTCGTATAAACTCGCAACTCGCGAATTAAACTTCATTCGATTGAATTACTTATTCGAGTTTTGTTTGAGTAATTCGAGTCACGGCAATTAATTCATTAATAAATTTTATAAATTACGAGTTACAAAAACAAATTACTTCAAATAGTGTATGTTATAAAAGTGGATATAATTCAATTTATTAAATTGGTTATAATAGAGCTTGCAAGTGTATTTTGATTATCCATCTTTACTTTTTATAATTTTAGATTTATTGTATTTAGGCAAAGTAGACAAATTCTTATAATTATTAAATATTTTGTTATTTAAACTAGGAAAACAGGTGCTGTTGTAGGTGATTGGTCACGTGGGCGGACAGACAGACAAAATTCTGCTCGGCCCGCGCGGATCTTCAGATCATATACTAGGAAACAGTTTTAAGAAACTGTTGTAAGTCCGGAGCGAATAAATTATCGAATATAGTTATGCATCAAAAACGTAACTTTTGTCACGCGTGCGGACAGACATCCATATGCATCAAAAACGCAATTTTTGATGTACTTTATTCGTCCATTAAATGTCCTTCGTTACGCTCCGGACAATAATTTACAAAGTGGTATTTCTATAATGCTTATTAATATGTTAAACCATCGGATTGTTTTACGTACTTTACTAAAAAAAAATAGCGAATGCTGCTGTAAAACTATATTGTCTTTACAGAATTAGCGATGAAAAGGACAAACATAAAATATTTCTCTATTAACAAGAACCTGCAGACATTATCATCTTCGCGAAATTTGTGATGAAAAGGATGCATTAGTCTATTATCAAAAGTTTGCAAATATGAGACGCGTTAATAAAAAGTCTTCTCGTGCCGATCATTTTTAGCTAGAATCAAAATGTCGTTTACCAGCTTAATGATCTCACAGTATGTCTTAAATTGACTGCTAATTGGTTTATTGGAATTAATTTTAAATTTGTTTTAACATGATTATTTTCATTAAACTAACAGTCGTATGGTTGCTTGTTCTTTGGAAGTTTTTTTAAAAATGCTAGTGAAACAAATTAGAACGTGAAGTACTTTCACCACTATTGATGAAATTGGTGTTGAATTGGTGAAATTAATTTCACCAGTAACTCTAGTTTTTACTTTGGTACTATGACATGTCCAAGTCTAGCTTTAGAAATTAATTTTAGGAGGTTCACACGCCTTTTACATTGCTTTGATCTTCTCATTGCACTTGTTATTAAAGATGAACGTTCCTGCTTCTGTCAGTTTGCGTTGTTGATTATCTAATTGTACCCTTTTTAAAATGTACTGCATTTGCCTGCTGTAGAATTACTAGACTTACTCTTTTGATAAATGAATTATCAAATCTTTGTAGTACGAATATCATTGAAATATTAACAGTTAAACAATTTTTTTGATTCGTCTCTTTTCGATAAAAATTACTGAAGCATAAATTTTAGAATATCAAGTGTGGAAATTTCTAGCACAAATAGAAAATTCGTCGAAAAACAATATAATATACATATTGTTTCGAACATATACCAGAAATCAGGCAGCAAAAAGAAGTAATGGGAAAGAGAAATGTCCTTTAAAAAAGCGAATATCGCATTACATTTGATTTTGCGAAAATTTTCAACAAAGTCTTGACTTGTACATTAAATACAATTTTTTTTTTCATAAAATTTAATATACAGTATCCTATTAGTCAAAGCCTAAATTTCATATATCAATAAATAATCTTTGAGAGTAACTTTATTCTTTGACATATTATAAGTAAATTGTAAAAATTTTAGGGTTATTATGTTTCTTTGAATCATTTTAAATAAATTGATTTTTTAATACATATAATGCGTAAAAAGTTCAAACTCGTGTAACATAAAATTCTGCAATATAACAAAAACGATTACTTAAAAATTGAAATTACACCCTCTGCAAGATTACTGTATAATTGATCTTATTATTTATATAATAGGCTTACAAAGTCATCTTCATGGTGTACATTTCAAGATTTAAATTTAGGTAATTTATCATTAAATTTATCGCCATTCTTTCTTACCTATATTT